GCTCATTGAAGGGCAAATACTCTTGGTGTTAGTCCAGAAGGAGATCAATACGGAGAAAGAGAGGAAAATAAATATATTCAGTCCAAACATCCCCCCCTCTTCTTAAATAAGTAAACAAGGAGGGGAAAAATCAAGTCCCCAGCCCCCAACTTATTTTTAGGCCCAGGCAATTGGGTATCCCAGCCGGAGTGCATACAAGCCAGCATTCTAAAAATGCCTTTCTCGCGAATGTGAAAAGGATGCAAGATAATTCTTTGGGGGAAGTTTTGTAATGTAACAGCCCTACTTTAACCACAAACAAGAGAAACACCAAGGCTACCACTGCTCCCTTTCCCGGAGCCCTCCGCCTTGCTCAGTTCTGGTGGGCTCGGGCTGCATTGGATCCATCCTTCTCCCCACATCACCCTCTGCAAAGGGACAATTTGATTTCCTATATAACGGTGTCAGCAGAGCCAAGGCAAACTAAAAATGGTATGCTCGCTCAACAGCTCCAGTGTCCGCGGCGCAGCCTGCCAACCCAAACGTGCATCAATCATCCACAAGAGCCCATCAGCATGGGGTTGATGGAGTCCCACCAGCATGCTGCCAAGCACCCTGCTGGGTCATTTCCTGGGATCTCAGCTGCACACGGAGGGATGAGTAGGAACCCCAGGGAGTGCTGAAAAGCTGGAAACAGAGTGACTCCCCCCCTTCCCCAGCCCAGCCCTTGGACACATGCTGTTCCTTCACAATTGTTGTCTGGATTCAATCAGCCCCCAGGATGGTGGTATTGCTAGAACAATAGCTCACATCTGGATGGGTTGTTTTCCCTGAAAGCGTCTGGGCTCCTACAGCTGCTGGGCAGGGATTGCTGCTCCCGCTCACACGCGGATCGGGTTGTCCTCCTGCACAGCTCCAGCCACCTTGGGGCACCGGGCAGGTCTCTGGGAGTTTGTGCTACCCTTCCCTTTGCCAGCCCGAACTGGAGGTGTTACATCCTCTTTCTCACAGCTTCAGGAGAACAGATGCCCTGAAAGCCCTTTGGGATGCTCAACTCATACCCTGATGTATGATGAAGTTTGGGAGACCTCCCTCCTCCAAGAGCCTGGAAGAGAGGCCAAAACAGAGAGACAAGCACATCCAACTCCTGTAAGAGACAAGGACGGACAACTGCAGCCCACAGCAGGGAAGGAGCAGCTCTCACAGCAGACGGGAGATCGGATGGAAGAAATAGGACATCTAAGCAAATGAAACACATCCCACGGGGAAGGTGAAGGCAGCAGTTGGAGGCTGAGGTGAGCAGCCCCCCAGCAGTACCTGGGGATGACATGAGTGCAGACACACCGCAGGGCTCAGGAAGTCACACTGACCAAGAGCAGAGCCCATTTTCTTACCACTCCCTCTCAGACTTCATTGCTCCTCAAAACACAACTCTACTGTTGGGTTCATCTTTGGCACAACATAACAGATGCAAAGGATGTGTTAAGTGCTTTCTGATGTATTTGGGCTGAGAGGATCAAAAGCAAATTAGGGGGTTTTGACCCAAACCAGGACTCTGGGTGAACTCAGCCCTGGCTATTTGTCACTTTATGAACAAGCACCTCGGTGGGCATCCTGTTCTCAGGATGCAACAACCAAGGACAATCCCATCCATCTTTGCCAAGTTTTGAAATTAGTAATCAATAAGAAGAGCCCAGAGAGAGTGGGCTCTCTTTCCCGTTCAGCTTTTTTATGAGCTCAGCCTGACCTCTCTCATGAAACTTTAAAGAACCTACCAAGGAATCCATCAGGCTCCAGCAAAAAGCCCTGTTAATTACTGCACCTGCCCAGCCCCAGTGGGCCTACCAGCCTGGGGAAGTGGCCACCAAGACCAGTACTGCTACCTTTGGGGTTCCCTCTGGGGTTCCCAAGATGCCCATCTCTTTACCACCTTGCTTACAGCCCCCAGACCTGAGCCCAGCACTTGTGGACTGCTCGCTATTCTGGCTCAGGTTTCCTGTAGCCAGGAAAGGAGAATTGCTGAGTGATAGTTCATTCTTGGGGCCTGTCCACAAGAGACACTCGGTGAGGTTAATCTGGATTAGTGCTTGAAGAAACCGCTTAAACAGCAGGAGGCTCCCCAACAGCCCTAACCCAATTAAGCATCTCTCCCTGAGGAAGGCAGGCTGGCTAAGCCCACATTAAGGCCCATCAAGCGTCCTGTTGATGAGATAGATCCTAACATCACAGCTGTGGCCATCCCAGAGGAGGCAAAACTGAATTTGCTACTCTGGAAACAAGGGGTTGGCAAAAGAGAAGGGAAAATGTGGGGCAGGGAGCATGCTAGAGAGCCCCATTCAAGCTCTGCCCCTCAGCTTCCTGCCCTGTGGTTTTCAGGGCCATACCAGAGGAGGCTCTTTGTGCCTGTGGCTGTCCTGAACAGCAGCACCTCCACCACCAATGCTTCTGCTTACTGTGTTATTTCTGTTCCTTCTGCTGGTACCCAGGCTGCCCTCCAGTTGCTCTTTTCACACACACTGTGTCACACACCAGGCTCACAGTGTAACTGCCCAAGGGGGGCCCATACTGAGTGTTAATTGCTGTTAATGAGCTGTTGCTGCTTGCCTTCCTAGAGCGCCAATTACAACAACACTCGAGCTCTGTAAGAAGATGATGTCTGCAGCAAATGAACACAAACTTACTCCGGGACCCTGGCATTACACTGCCAGCAGCTCCTGGAAAAGCAGGAGGAGCTGGGTGCAGGATGACAGCTGGCAGTTCTCCTGCTATATCTGTCCCCTTGTTCTTTGTATGGTCAGTCGTGTTCTTGACTTGCCGTCCACATCTCCTGCCATGGTCATAAGAAAGGCTCAGTACCACTGTCTGGCTGCGTGCACACCAACACTGCCATGGGCTCAGCACAGCTCCCTGCCCCACAGCCTTGCCACTCTTCCTTCCAAGCCTCATCTGCCTGCTGTGCTATTGATATTGGATGACACTACGCATGGCCAATATGCTGGAACCAAACATAGCTCTAGAAGTGTACAGAGGTTTTCACCAGCTGAGAAGCACTAGAGCTGCCTCTGCTCTCTCCAACAATCAGATCAGCCTCTCTCAAAGATGCAGACATAGAGAGGTGAGGGCTATTCTAAAATGGCAAAAGCTTTTACACGTGCATAAAGTCATGCAAGCCAAGGTATTGGGGCCCTTCACCAAAACAATAGCATCTGTCGACAGCACTAAGTAAGAAATTGTCCAGTGTCTCACGCTGACTTTCTCCTTTGGATTATTTTTGGCAGTGCTGAGAAGCATTCGCATCCAAACCACTGCTTTAGAGAGCCTTGAAATAAAATATGGCAGAGCTGATTCACCACACAGAAACCCAAAGCTCCGTTGTGCCACCTTGACCCGAAAGGAGTCATCCAACAACATGTTTCCCCCTGCCCATCTCCATCAAAGACAACACCACGCTGTCCCCAGCCACAGCTCTTACCTCCAGGCACCTGGCTCCTGTCGTGCTGCCTTTCCTCAGTTTGTTAAGTTTTATTTTCTGTTATTCCTCCCGTTTTGGCTTCCACCCTAAAAATCCTCCTGCAAGTTTCCCAGCTGCCCCGCTCCTCATAAACACTCATTTAAGCATAATGCTTTATGGCCAAATGCCTGCTTGTGTATTTTGGGATGAATCCCCTGACCCGTAGGAAGGGCACCAACCCAACCAGCTCACCTCACCTCGCCGCTTCCCAGACTCATACTAGTAATCTCCCATGAAACAGCAGGGTACAAATTCAGGTTGTACCTACCCCAAACACCATGGTACCCATGCAGGCAGGGGAAAAAGAGCTCAGGAGCTCAGCAGCACCAGGATCGTAGAGTCATAGAATCTTAGGATGGCTTGGGTTGGAAGGGACCTCAAGGATCATCAAATTCCAGCCCCTCTGCTGCAGACAGGATTGCTAGCTGCTAGATCATGTACTAGATCACATTGCCCAGAGCCCCATGCAATCCATGCCCCCAGATTTCCCAACCACCATGCAAGATGGATTTCCCCTTCAGAGATTTGCCCACAGTCCCGTCTTGTCTGCAGACCAATGAGGGCTGCAGAAAGAAAAATTGCAAAAGTTTTGTTATTTCCGTAGTGTTCCCATTTTCCCACAGAAGCAAGGTTTTTGTTTTGTTTTGTTTTGTTTTGTTTTGTATGTTGGTTTTTTGCTTTGTTTAGTTTAGTTTTTTTCTTTCCCAACTTTCAGGGGAAAATCCTGACAAATGGAAGCCCTGATTCATACCAGCAAAAATTCAGCCTTTTTAAATTTAGGTGGAGCCCTTCTTGTCCGAGGATGAAAACATTCCTCTAGCTGCACACAGAGGGTGAGGACAGAGCCTTGGCCATGTCTCCATTAAGTAGCAAAGCCTCTTCTGGTGGCCAAGTGGCAGTGGGCGGCTATCCTGAGCAGCCATGTGGCAGGCAGCAGAACCGCTCACCACACCAATAATGAGGAACATCATGATGTTCTGATCATTATTAACATTATGATGAATCTGATAGGCACAGGCCATCAGATTTCATCCCAGGGTGGGAAAACATCTAGGGGTCACGTCTGGTGCCATGGCTGAGGAGGAAACACTGAGAGAAGGGCTCCTCGTCCTCCCCCTGTGCTTCCTCAGATGGTGAGAAAAGCTCAGGAATGGATGAAGACACCCATTGCCACTGTCCTGGTTATGGGCACCTGCTTCCTGCATTCCCACTGGGGGATCAGGAGCTGGCTTGGGAATGAAGATGTGTTTGTAGCAACAGCCCAGCTGCTCCCACAGCGTGGAGAATAGAAGGGAAGGAGAAAATCCAGAGGAACTGCATATCTCTAACCCCTCCCCTGAATGTTGCTCTCCCTTGGGGAGAAGAGAGATGCGTGCAGAGTCCCCATGGCAGCAGGTGCCCTCATGCCCTAGCACCATGCACAGAAGCTCCATTAACGCATTTTGCACCCATGGTACCTGCAACGTCCCCCAGACAACCCTCACAGTTCACAGCCTGGTTCCCTACCTACCTGTATGGCGAGTCAGGGTCGAAGCAGGTCCTGGTGACATCGGTAGCCCGTGGGTCACAGCAGTCGCCATCATCAAAGTCATCCAACATGTTGTTGCACTCCATGTGGCAAACACCGTCGCGGCGCTTCCAGGAGAAGCAGCGCCCGGGTCGGCGGCAGTCCCCGCCATCATAGCCGGTCAGTGGGTGCTCACACTCAGGGTCGCAGCGCTCGTTGCCCACCTTACTGGGCTCACAGCCCAGCAGAACGGCACGGCGGCGCAAGGACGAGTTGCGCACCTCCAGCAGGCTGAGCTGCCACGAGATGTTGTAGGGGCGGAAGGCCTCGCTCAGCGCCCGGTGCTGCCGCCACACCTGCTCACGGCTCACCGTCGGCCGCCCGCCGCTGTCCTCGGCCAGGCTGACCACACGGTACCGCACCACCTTGGCACCGCGCAGCGGCCAATGCTGGTTGTAGTGGGAGACCAGCTCCACGTTGTCGCACGCCGTCTGCCCGCAGGCTGGAGGACCGAACGGATGGAGGATGGGGGGTACGGCGGGGGGCAGGACCCGGCGCCGGGGTAGCGAGGCTTCACGGAACGGCACCCACTGTTGCTCCAAAGTGTCCAAGCCGGCGGCCAGCACTGGAGAGCCGCTGGGCACCTCTTCAAGGAAAGCTCGCTGGAGCTGTGCTTGGGGCAGCGCATCCTGCCATAAGGCCAGCCCGGCCACATGTCCCCGAAAAGCATGAGCGTCCCCCCAGGCGTCCCCTCCCAGCAGCAGGGTGCGGCAGGAGGCCATGAAGGCACTGTGCAGGGGCCCTCCCTGCCCATCAGTGCGGCCCACCCGCACCCCATCCACATAGAGGGCCATCCAGTGCCCGTCATAGCTGGCGGTCAGGTGGGTCCAAGTGTCCGGTTGGTAGCGATGGGACCCTGTCACCTCGGTGGCGGCGGCCGCTCGGTCTGTGCGCAGGGAGAAGAAGAAGCGGGCATCCTGCTTGCCACCCAGGCGCAGGGCACGGATGCCCAAAGCCCAGCCCTTATTGCTGGCCGTGTGTGAGCAGTTGTCGAAGACTCCTGCAGAGGGGATGGGTTGGAGAGAAAAGAGGGAGGTGGTGAGAAGTGGAGAGCGTTGCTGCTCTGTGAGCATCCTTGTGGCATGCCTCTGCCTCCTGCACTGAGATGACTCTTAGGGATATGGAGCACAAAAGAGCAAAGCACATCATCATGTTTCTATGTTCTGGGGTGAAGGAGCAGGGAAGGTTTTCAGAGTCATAGAATCAGCAAGCTTGGAAAAGATCTCCAAGATCATCCAGTCCAACCATCCATCTACCACCAATATTTCCCCACTAGCCCATGTGGTCACATTGAATGAGACACAGGCAAGTAAAGTTGGACAGGGTCTGGACAGTGGGCACTGCTCATTATTTGGGTGAGCAGGCTGAGGAGCCAAGAGTCAGAGCTATGGAAGCTGAGTGGAAAGGGCATGAAGAGCTCAGCCAGTTGGAGAAGAGAGGCCAAAGAGAAAGACATTCCCATAGGAGCATGACTGCAGGCTGGGATGAGACACTGCGCTTTCAAGGATTAGAATAAGTCAATCCAAAGCAAAACATCCTGCGTTCCTGAATCTCCAAGATATCTCAATCTTCCATCTCGCAGATTTCCCTCACCCTGCAGTTAATGGCCACAGGTGGCTGGATGCACCAAACATTACAAACGAACATGAGGACATAATAAATGCTCTCAGTACGACCTTCAGGCTTGTGTCATAGAACCATAGTATGGCTGGGATTGGAAGGGACCTTAAAGGGATCACCCAATTCCAACCCCTGTTATGGGCTGGTTGCCCCCCTCCAGATCAGGCAGCCCAGGGCCCCATCCATGGCTTTGGGAACCTCTATGTATGGGGCACCCACAGCTCTGGGCAGCCTGTGACAGACCCTCACCACCCTCTTGGTGAAAAATTTCCCCCAACATCTACTAGGACCTCCAAGTACTTCTCCACAGGGCTGCTCTCAGAGACTTTTTATTGCAGTCTGTGCATATTTCTGGGATTTGCTTGACCCAAACGCAACACCTTGCACTTGGCCTTGTTGAATCTCACTAGGTTCACAAGGGCCCACCTCTCCAGTTTATCAGAGTTCCTTTGGATGGCATTCCTTCCTTCTATTGTAGCGACTGCACCACTCAGTTTGGTGTCATCCACAAACTTGCTGAGGGTTCTCTCAATCCTATCATCTGTATCACTGATTATGTTAAAGAGCACCAGTCCCAAGATGAGCCCCGGAGGGACACCACTCCTCACTGACCTACACTTGGACGTAGAGACATGGCCACAACCTTCTGTCTGTGACCTCCCAACCAATTCTTTACCAACCAAATGGCCCACCCTTCAAATACATCTCTCTCCAATTTAGAGATAAGCATGTGGTGTGGGACCATGTCAAAGGGATCACATCCAAGGGAACCAGGTCACCACGGTCCCACATATCCTTTCCAGCCCTCATAACCCAGCAGCAAGCTTTACAAAGGTCACTTCAAGCACTGCTGGACCCCAAGTGTTCTTTGTCCTTGTCTCCTCCAAGGAGGACAAGCTGCAGCCAAGTGGTCACAACAACTCCAGCCAAGATGCAAGCAAAAAAACCAGCCAAACACAAAGCCTACATGGACAGATGAGGTTTGGCTCATTTTTGTGTATGAAACCACAGTGCTGGGTGGAAGTGCTGGGACTGCACACTCAAAAGCCATCCTCTAGGATTTGCTCATCACTGGGACAGAGGAAACAGGGCTTGGGATCTCCTCCTGCAGTTCACTCTGTGACAATCTAGGGTGCCCCAAATTTGGTTAAATGCAAGAAGAGAGCAAAAACAGCATTGAGGTGGAGCAGCTTTATGGGGAGAATGGGACCCAGCATCCTTGCAAACACAGTCTGGGTGTGCCCCATAAATTTACAAGTGGCCCACCAAAATGGAAAGAGCCATTGCAGAGGAGATGCAAATCTTGGCATTCACAAGTCTAACTTGGCATCTAGTCTATAGGATGGGAAAGGGGAAACATAACCTGGCTTGTGACTTGTGCCCAGGATTAGAGTGATAATGCTGGATTTAAAACATGCGTTGTTGGCAACACCACAAAAACATGAAAGGAAGCAGCCGTGCTTCAGCACCAATATGCAAAAAGCTGGCCACAAAACTGCCCTGGGGTGTAAAGTTCAGGCAACGGAGACAGAGAAGGAATAAATAACCCTTTTGATTTGACTGCCAGGAGAGTGGTGAAGAAGTGCACAGCTTTATAAGGACCACGCAGAGCATCCTTTCCCCTGGGGCTCCTCCCTGAGCACCAAGCAGCCAGTGCACGATCCCATCCCAGCAGGGCAGAAGGGCTGGAGGTCCTGGTGCCACCTGCACATACAGAACACAGCAGGAAGTGCTCCATCCCTGTCCCCATTACCACGGCCCTGCATTGCCAGCTGCAGGGCGCGGGTGGGAAGCTGCGGGTGACTCAGCCAGCCGGAGGTGCGTGGGGCTGACTCAAAGCCTGGAGCGGGGGATCGTGCCAGTGCCAGTGGTCGCTGTGTAATGACGGGCCCACCCTCCACTAAGGGAAAATTAAACGACAACAAAAGAGAGAAAACTAGCAGGGGAAAATAATGCAAAGCACCTGCAGGGCTGAGCTCCAGGTGCAGACAGCTGTGAAAAGGGTGGGTGGGAGACACTGGCTCAGCTTCCCTATCTGCCACCCATCCGCTCTCCTCTTCTGCATCCCACAGAGAAAAGTCTAAGTGTGGAGCCCAGTGGTAAGCAAAGCAAAGGGGTTCAGTGGAGGGATGGAGAGTGGAGAGGCACAGGCTGCCCAGAGATGTGTGGGTGCCCTATCCTTGCAGACAGGCTGGACGGGGCTCTGAGCACCTGATGGAGCTGTGAGTGTCCCTGTTCAGCGCAGGGAGTGGGGCCAGATGGTTTTTAAAGGTCCCTTGCAACTCAAACTATTCTCAGATTCTTATTGTAGCTCTCCATCACCAGCCCCTGGCTCCTGGGTCGCCGTGAGTTAACCCCACGTGCCATGTCTCTCCGCACGAGGGAGAGAAGCCCCCCTCGGCAACCACGCAAAGAAGGGAAGCCTGGGGGGATGCAGAGCCCGGGGGCGCCGCGCAGCCCGGGCCGGGGCGGTGCGCGAGGTGCGGCTGCCACCGTGCGGCCACCGCTCCCGGGACTCCGCGGGCCGGGGGGGATCCGCCGGGAGCTCCGTGCCCCGAACCCGGGGGAGGCGAGGGGCCGGGAAATACAGCCCTTCTCCCGGTGAGTGCCCGGGACGCGGGGAGAGCGGGATTTGGGGTGTCGGTGGGACGGTACGGGTGCTGTCACCTGTCGCAGGTGAGCAGCTCCGGATCTCGGCTCTGTCCCCGCGTCCCCCCCGCTCCTCCCGGCCTCGCATCGCATCCCTTCCGCCGCATCCCGTCGAGCTTTACCTGCGATGACGGCCGGGTTGCTCTGTCCGCCCTCCGCCTTCACCCACAGCTCCAGGGTGAAACGCTCCCGCGGGATGTGAGGCAGCGCCTCCGGCCGCGCCGCCAGCGTCTCCCGGCCGCCGGCGAAGTACAGGGCGGGGAGCGGCCGGCCCCGGGGGGGGCTCGGCACCCGCGCCGCCCGGCCCCGCAGCCTGCCTTCCGCCTCGCCCCGCGGCTCCTCGCCGCCTCCCCCGGCTGCCCTCGGCCTCCGACCCCGCTGCCTCCCGGAGTCCGGGACTGCGGCTCTGAGCCCCCCCTGAGCCGCTCGGCCAGGGTACAGCCCGTAAGGATGGTGCGGGGGGGCCGCCCGGCGGCTCGGAGCCTCCAGCCCGCACGGCTGAGGGGGGTCGGGGGGCCGGGGGTCCCCGCGGGTCAGGCTGAGCGCCGTCAGCAGCAGCGCGACCAAGGGAGCCCCGCGGCTCTGCATGGCCCCGGGGGAACGGGGGATCGGGGGGCGGCGGCCCCGGGACTGCGGGAGGCTCAGGGGGGCGGCGGGCGGCAGTCGGGGTAGCGCCAGGGCATCCTCCCCCGGTGCCGCTGCCCCCAACTTTTTCCCCGGCGCCGCTCTCCTCCCCTCTGCGGGCCCGGGAGGAGGAGGAGGAGGAGGGAGAGAAGGAGGAGAAGGAGGGGGAGGAAGAGGGCACGGCCGCGGAGACCCCTCTGCCTGCGGCGGGGCCGGAGCTCGCTGCCCGCCGACACCGGGAAGGAGGGAGCCGAGCGCTGCCTGCGGGAGCGGGAGATGCGCCCTTATCTAGAAAGCCCCGAGGCGCTCGGCTCCCCCCGCCGGGGAGGGGTTGGGGGGGTGGGGGGGGGCTGCCTTATTTAAAGATGATTATATCCAATCTAATAAACCCCGAGCGGAGCATCGCCCTCCCCTCCCTCCCTCCGCCTTCCCGGGCGCTGCCCAGGGCGCAGCACCCCGCCGGGACCCGCTCCCCGGTTCGGTTCGGCGCGGCTCGGCCCCGGGCTGGGAGCGGATCAGGGGATGGCAGCGGTGCCGCGGCCGCACCTGCGGACACAGCGCGGGCTGCCCTGCTGCCTGCCCCGTTCGCTGCTCTCCGCGCATCGCCGAGCAGCCCGGAGTGTTTTTCTCTTTTCTTTTCTTTTTTTTTTTTTTTTTTTTTTGTCCTCCCCCCCACCCCCCATCCTCCCCCACTTCTTTCTTTATTTTATTCTCCCTAAGACGAGCTGTGCCCACACTTCGCTCCAGTCGTGGCACCGTCTCTATCCTCTATCCCATCCCTCACCTGACAGGAGGGGTCCATCCCCAGCCCTCCCCACCCAAAGCTCAGCACACGCGATCCACGCAGCGGAGAGCCCCAGAGTGCCCCTCCACCAGCGATCTATGCTTCCCTATTCTTCCCTTTTTTTCCCCACCCTGAGCAACGGTCCCATCTGCTTGACACATGCAGAAAGGTGGGCTGGAGGCACGCTGCCCAGGCTGGGGAAAAACATAGCTCCCCAGGACCCACTCTGGCACATCCTCACCCCCCCGAATATCATGCTGCCAAATCTCCCCTGAGAAACCCTTGGGATGGTCGGGTACATCTGAAAACCTCAGTGAGAAGATGACTTTCTTTTTTTTTTTCCCTTTTATTATTATATATATATTTTTTTCACTTCGAAGCACTATCTGTGGCGGTCAGTCTGAAGCAGGGCTGCCAGCAAGAGCTGGGAGGCCCCTTCCAGGGTACCGGCTTGCAGAGCAGCCAGGCAGGAGGGAAGGGATTGAAGCACGAGCAGCGGGAGCTGCACGCACGGGGCTTGTTTTCTTCCCATGGAGGTTGGGGGGGTTGATGCTTTAGGCATTAAAAATAGCACTGGGAACACTGGAGGGGTGGCACAGCATCACCAGGACACAGGGATGCAAAGAGAGGAGGAGAGGATGTGTGAGGGGTGCATGAGGACAAGGAGAGCTTGTAGAGGGGGGAGCTCCATAGTTCCTGAGGATGAAGATACTGCCCAGGGATGTGGGATGGACCTCAGCCCCCTTCCAGTACAGGGGTCCCACCCGCTGCTGGCATGGGTCGGAGGCACCGCTACCCAGCGCTTGGCCCCACCACAGTGTTGTGCTAGGGCAAATGCCAGCGGTCCCTGCTCACAGTGCGTGTGAGTTTAGGAATGAGCCGAGCTTCTGATAGCCCTGTCTACCAGGGGCTGATATCAGTGGGTCCCATGGGATGGCTTATTTTCAGTGGTGGCAACTTTATTTTAAGCAGTTATTCATCATCTTGCCACGCGCCCTGCTGTGCCAGCCAGCCGTCACACCAGGAGCCCGCACCCCAGCAGCCCCAAAACACGTGTACCAGTCCCATGAGGATGGATCCTCTGGGCTGGAGCTGGCTCTGAAGCAACAAAACCCTCCAAAAAGGCACATTTCCTTCCACACACACACAACAAAAAATAATCTGGCCTCATCAGTGCTCCTGCATGATGGTTTCACCGGTGTAAGAAAATGGCAGGACCTAGGGATAAGTTAAGGGAATAGGGACAGCAAGTGCTTTGGCAGCCTGCCAGCCACCATGAATGCTGGCACACAGAGGCTTTCCAGGCAAAACCCCAGGTGGCAGGAAATATGGGGAATCATGGAATCATTACAGTTGGAAAAGACCAGTAGGATCACCAAGCCCACCCACAATGCATCCCCACCTTGCTCACTGACCATGTCCCTCAGTGCCACACCTCCACAGCTCTTGGACACCTCCAAGGACGGTGACCGCACCACGTCCATGTGCAGCCTGGAAGAGCCATCCCCACTGCTCTTTGCCATCAGAAACTGTCTCCAAGTCCTTTCCTACTGGTGCTCACAGATGGGAGCAGGTGCTCCAGCCCCTCCTCCAGCTGTCCCTGCTCTGCAGTGCCATAAGATAATGCAACTCTGCAGCCTCCCTCCAAAGTGTCCAAAGAGTGGATGTGTCCCACCTTGGAGCCAGGATGCTTTGGCTGGGAATGCAGCAGTCCTGCATCCTGTGGGCATCCCTGCATCTCATTGGCAGCCCTGCTTTCTTTGGCATCCCTGCATCCCAAGGGCATTTCAACATCTTGTGTTCATTGCTGCATCCTGTGAACAGCCATGCATTCTGTAGGCATCCCATGAACATCCCTGCATCCCACGGGCATCTCAGCATCACATGGGCTTTCTTGCATTGTGCGGGCATCCCAGCACCCCATTGGCACTCCAGCACATGGTGCCTGGATGGAGATCCTCACCCCACAGAGCCCAGTGCAGGAGAGCAACTGTCTGCTGTGCACCCTTTGGTCCCTCTAAGGCCCATGTGCTCGCCAAGGTGATGATTCTGGGGCAGAGACAAGGCTGCAGCCTGCTCCATGGGAGGTGAGAAGCAGCATTCCTGCTGGAGTTGAGGCCAAGCTGTGCCTCTCCCCACGCCTGTCAAGAGCCATCAGCAAAAGCCTTCCTCACCCTTTGCTCCTCCATAGGCAACCATTGGAGAGCCCGACATGGGAATAAAGGCACGGGGAGAAGGCAGTTTTTGTTCACGGCCGGGCAGCCAAATCCATGGGCTTGCAACAGCAAGCCTGATCAATCAAAGCAGCTCAGGGCACAGCCTGGTTCCCCCCTCCCTCCATCCCAGCTGTGGCATCTTTTCCCAAGAAGATTAGGAGTGTGTTCAGACAGCTGGGATCCCCGAGGTCAGAGACCCCAGCCCCACATGCTGAAGGTTGGCTTGGGAACGCGGTGGGTTTCCTGCCTCCGGCTGCTCTGCAGATCAGCACTGGTGAGCAACCTGGCTAAAATTCTGGCATCAAACTTCCAGGTCCCCTTCTGCTGTGTGCCTTGTTTGAAAAGTGATGTACGTGACCCCAGCTCCTCTGAGCACAGAGCCAAAGACTGAGCTTTAAATAATGAGGAGCAAGCCGGCAGGATGCATCTTCATCACCCTGCACCTTCCATGTGTCAATGCTGGGGAGAAGCTCATGGGCTGAGCATTCACCAGTGCCTCAGTCAGCCCCCAGTACACACCATTGGCTCTCAGGCAGGAGGTGAGGATGCTGCAGACGCTCACACCTTGATGCAGAGGAGCTGCCCACACCCCAGCTCTTCGCACATTGCCGAGAACTCACAGGCTCTAAATTAAGACCATCGAGAGAACAGAGCACGACCTTTGCCAGATGGGGTGTCTCAGATATTGAAAGTGATTCTGACAGCTCACAAAGGGCAGAGACCTGGCTGCCTTTATGTAACACTGCTCCTCCAGCAGCCATGGAGGAGGGTGTATGGAAAAGTGAGGAGAAATGCTGGGACTGCCCTGCTGCTCTGCTCACTTGTTTCCTGCTGTTGTTGGTCAGGAGTTTCAGCCCCATTAAGTCCAGGTTTTCAATTGTATTTCTGTGTCCCAGCAAGGTGGGAAGTGTCTGCTGAAGGTGAAAGATGGGAGAGGGAGGATGCTATGTGGCCCACGTGCCAACGGCAGAAGCACAGTCCCAAGGACATCAGCTCAGCCACCTGCACGAGGATCATCTTAGTGCAAACACAGTATGGGCTGGAACTTGCATCCACAGAACCCTGAGCTCTGGCAGGAGCTCCAGGAGAGCACCACGCTCACAGCAGGTAAGTCCAGGTGGAATAATGACACATCCTTGCTGCATTTCCAGTGTCCCTCTGCCAAAACTGACATCTGCTTGCTGGTTCCCCCTGGACGTGTGGCTTGCACGGTAGCATCTCTTCTCCAAGTTAGCATGACTTTCCTCACCTGAGTGTCAGTGTAATCACTTGCGCAAACCTGCCACCTCCAGACAGCTTTTGCTCTGCCTTCTGTAGTTGGGTATGTGTTTGTATTTGCCATTCATTGGTGCTAGGAATTAGAGGTCCATCCTGATTGCTGCTCCAAAACACAACATTGTTCTGTATCCTTTTGTCCAAGTTCATCACAAATCCAAGTGCACCATTGGTCCCCAGCTTCTGCAGCCAGGGATTGGGGTTTTCTCCACAAAGATCTTGCTGACAAGGACCATCCTTTCCAAACAAGTGCCTTCCTGGGTGCTATAACTCACTGCATGTTTGAAGTATTGGGTGCTCCTGCTAGGCTGCCAGTGCTCCCCAAAACACCCACTGCATCACTGCCAGAGCACAACAGGGCCTCCCAGACCCCTGTAGACCCTCTTGCCTCCCCTTGAGCTTGCATCTTGACATCATCACCTTTGAGTGTGGATCTTCTCCAGAGGGCAGCAGGAGGAGGTATTCCTACATGCCCCTTGGACAGAGCGAGGGTGAGCTTGCTGTGCACATGCAACAGCCATAGGTAATGCTGTCTCCAGCTTCAAACCAACAAAGAAAAAGAGTGAATGTGGGCAACGTGCTTGCAGGGCTTGCTTTTTGTACATGATAGGATGGCCCTTGCATGGCTTGGTGGGAGGCTGTTCTGGGGACATACCAAGAGGCATCATCCCCTGCAGGAGTAGCTGCAG